CACGTTTATATTGAAAACCAACCCGCAGCCTCAACCCGAAATCCTAAAGCCAACCCACAGCCGGATGTTGATTGTTGTTTGTTGTTCTTTGTTGTTGTGGTTGTTCTTATTCTTGTTGTGGTCGTTGTTTGTTGGGCTGAGCGGCTGGCTAGCGGCTAGCGGGCAGAGTGGGCTGGGCTGCATTGGGCTGGGCTGGGCTGGGCTGGGCTGGGCTGGGCTGGGCTGGGCTGGGCTGGGCTGGGCTTTAAACCCTAAACCCCTAAACCCCGAAACCCTAACCCCCAAACCCCAACCCCTAAACTTTAAACCCTACACCCCGAACCCCCAAACCCCCTAAACCCTAAACTTGAAACCCTACACCCCAAACCCCCAAACCCAAACCCCCAAACCCCCAAACCCCCTAAACTTTAAACCCTACACCCCGAACCCAGGATCCGTCCTCCGTCTGCCGGAAGTCCGGCGCAGGCCCTGGGTTGGAATGCGATGTGGGCTTCTTGCTGAGGTTCTTCGCGTTCTCTTCGGGGCTCTGTAAAGTTTTTTTTTTTTGGCTCTGTGAAGTTTAGGGTTTAGGGTTTAGGGCTTAAGGGCTTCTTGCTGAGGTTCTTCGCGTCTTTCGACTGAGGACAGGAATCTTAGGCTTGTCGAGGCTTTCTAAGGGGATTACTGGGTTCTTGTTAAGGGATTTAATGTAAGTTACCATAATAGGGATCCATAGTAAATAATATGGTTTCCTTATTATGGTAACTTAAATTAAATCCCTTAACAAGAATCCAGATTAGGAGGCCTGAGGCTCGGGTTTGGGTTTTGCGACTGAGGACTCTCTTCGGGGCTCTGCGGCCGGGAGCCTGGAGGTCTTAGGGTTTAGGGTTTAGGGTTGAGGGTTTAGGGCTTAAGGGTTTCAAGGCTTTAGGGTTTAGGGCTTCAGGGTTTCAAGGCTTCAGGGTTTAGGGCTTCAGGGTTTCAAGGCTTTAGGGTTTAGGGCTTCAGGGTTTCAAGGCTTTAGGGTTTAGGGCTTCAGGGGCTTAAGGGTTTACGGTTTAGGGTAGTTACTTGGAGGATCATGGGACTTAGTAGCTAAGGTTGTAAAGGTAACTATGCGTGCAACTAAGTATAGCCTTAGTTAAGTTACGTATGAATCTACTATCAATCGGATCTATGTCCGGCAGCGAAAATTGCAAAGACTACCCAGATCTTCAAGAATCCCTCAATTGCTGTCCTTCGGGATGCCAGGGGGGGGGGGTTTGGGGATCAGGGTTTTTCCAATGGCTCGAAGTAGGTACCAGAGCTGCACCTGCTATACCTTATATACAACCTATAATGGCGATGGCGCTTTGTAGTTGGGCTTTGATGCACGGATACTGTACAGACTACCGAGCATGTGATACTATACTAATCAATGCGGCTCCTGCATGTGCGCCTCAGGATTTGGTTCGGATGCCCAGAAATGACCCTAAACTCCATAATGTTTCCAACCGGTCCTAACACCTAAATCCTAACTCCTAAACCCTAAGGCGCAAAGTCCTAAACCCAAAAATCTAAACCCTGAATCCTGAACCCCAACAGCTGAACCCTAAATCTTGTAAACCTCACAATTCCTAAACCCTAGACCTCGACCCTGTTGACAGAGCCGTTTGAAGCCGAAGAATACGGCTAGACTCTCTGGCACAGAAATACGCCCAGACCCTGTATATATCGAAGTCGCTGGGTACTCACTTCATGCATTTAGGGTTTAGGGTTTACGGTTTGGGGTTCAGGGTTTAGGGGTTTGGGCCCTAAACCCTAATCCCTAATCCCTAATCCCTAAACCCTAAACCCTAAACCCTAAACCCTAAACCCTAAATCCTAAACCCTAAACCCTAAACCCTAAACCGGTTAAGGGTAACTATAACTCAATTAGCATGGTGCCTGCTCAACTTCGGGTCGAACTGATGCTGTTATGCGCAGAACCTAGAGACTCCCAAACCCCTTTGATTAAGGAATATACGTTTAGGGTTTAGGGTTTAGGGTTTAGGCTTTAGCGGGAATATACGTTAGATTATAGCAGGATCTCAAGTACGATTTAAGGTATATTCCTTAGTAGCAGGAGCTTGGATTTTGGAGTCTCTGCGAAGCCTCACCATCGACGACTGAGGTTGCAGCGTGGCGCACGTCGCTGCACTGCGCATGGGGCACTGGATGACCTCTCGAAGATCTCTAACTTGCCTGCACACCGTCTAGACCTAAACCCTAAGCCTAGACCCTAAAGCCCTAAACTTCTGAAAGCCCTAAACCGATGAAGGTCCTGAAGCACGTCGTATTCAACCCTACAAAGCCCTGCAAAGGAGGAGTCCTGCCAGCACCTCAATGCTGTTCTGCCTGCTTGTATGTGCAGTACCTTAAGGACGAAATGGACCCTGAAAGGGTTTAAAACTCATATAAACCCTAAACCCTATCAAACCCTGTCCCTAGACCATATAGCAGGTACGAGGATTAAACCCTTAACCCAAAACCCATATATAGCAGCAGGTATAAGTATAAACTCTAAACCGTACACCCATGTACCATATAGTAAGTATAGGCATTCACATTCTTACGGGTCATTTGGTAGCCTACGGTAGCTAAGGGTTCTGAACTCCAAGCTGCCTTGGCTTTCCAGGATCCGGTCCTAATAAACCCTCCGAAACTACTGGCCCCGTACGTAATCCAACAAAGCCTTCTGAATAAATGTAAACATATATATATATATATATTTATGTGTGTATATATATATATATGTACATCTTTGTATATGTACATGTATATGTGTATGTATATGTACCGTGTACGCCCTATGGGACCCTCCATGAAACACTACAGCTAGAGATCCCAAGTAAGTACCTGCAAGAAACATAGACAACCACTGCTGAAGCACGGAGCCCTGTGCAGCCATGGGAATGCCTATTCCGGTCCACGAGGCTCGCCAAAGACACCTCGAGCTCCACATGTCGTGAGTTTTCGGTTTAGGTCGCCGGAAAGGGTGGGGGGGAGGAGGCCGAGGATTATGATGAGTATACCCCAAGGCCCTAAACCCAAACCCCTACACCCTAAACCCCTAAACCCCAAACCCTAAACCCTCCTAAACCCCAAACCCTAAACCCCTAGCCCCCCAGACCCTAAACCCTACACCCTAAAGGAGGTCGTGGGGTTTGGAGAGGATCGAGGATATTCGGTTCTGGCGACTGCGACGTGTACTTTGGGGCCCGACAAGGCAGATATCAATCGCAGGATGTCGAGAGGGGTTTGGGTTTAGAGATTTGGTGTTTAGGGTTGAGGGTTTAGGGGGTATAGGGTTTAGGGTTTGGGCTTTGAGGGTTTAGGGTTTAAGATTAGGTTTAGGATCCGATAGGGCCTATCTGAAGCGAACTCCAGAAAACCACAATTGTGAGATCCTTATTCGTACGGTTTACATAAGGTCTGGTGAAAATTACGTGGCCGTTTGTGCCCCGGTGATTGCGGCATGAGAAGAAGCTGTATCAGACGATGCATTGGTGCATAGCAATTGTAGTCATCGCCGGGGGAGCAGTGAGAGTCAGGTCGTTGGTGGCGGTGGTGGCGGCGGTGTTGCTGGTGTTGCTGGTGTTGGTGGTTGTGGTGGTGTTGGTGGTGTCGTTGGTGGTGGTGGTGGTGG